AGTCTCGCTCTGTCCCCCAGGCTGGAGTGCAGTGGCGAGATCTCCACTCACTGCAAGCTCCGCCTACCGGGTTCACGCCACTCTCCTGCCTCAGCCTCCCGACTAGATGGGACTACAGGTGCCCGCCACCGTGCCCGGCTAATTTTTTGTATTTTTAGTAGAGACGGGGTTTCACGGTGGTCTCAATCTCCTGACCTTGTGATCCTCCCACCTCGGCCTCCCAAAGTGCTGGGATTACAGGCGTGAGCCACCGCACCCGGCTGTGTGTAATTTTTAAAAAGTGCTATGCAACCTGCCACTGCTACAATTGAGGTACAAGGAAACACATATAAATTTTATAATTTTGCCTGTGAGTTACAATTTGTTGTTAATGTATTAATCTCCTCTGTATGTTTAATTTTGCAAAATCAGAGAGAAAAATATTTCTTTACAGAATGACTTTAATTATATGTTGTATTGTTTTCTTTTGTTCCTCTCCTGTTCTTTTAGTAGAGATATCAAATAAAATGCAATCAAAAGTCCAATATTTAGGGACAGATTTTCTAGTTTTTGCAGCATTCAAGCTGGACAGCTGCATTTTTTCAGCGGGGTGGGGGGTCAAACTTTAAAGTCAAACTTTTAGTATAGAGGAACCAAAGAAAAGTATTCAAATTAATTAATTTGTATTTCTTGTTAGTGTCTCTTGGAATGAAAACCACTAGACAGGAATTACTTTATATTGCTTTGACATGTCCTGAGTGGTGGTGTTCAGGGATAAGGATACCTTCAGGTATCAGAAAGTTGGGAAAATTTCTATCATGTCCAACTGTGGGTGGACCATCCTGTGGGGCAGTGGTTCCAGGAAATGCTGGTATTTAATGTCACAAGGAAGCTGGCAGAATTTAATGAGTGCTAGCAGTCTTCACAAATTCCAAAGCGTACCCTTTGATGGTACATACAGCACAGCTGACACATCTCAAACATACATTATTGAATCCTTGCCATTTAGTGGTAAGAGGAGCCTTGGAGTTCTCACAAACTGAACTTTGGTTACCAGAATTACCCGATTATTTTTTTTTAAGACGGAGATTCACAGTTAGGCCTACTAAATTGGAATTCTGGTGACAGGATACAGGAATCTGGTTTTTTAATCACCAAACCACATGAATCTGAGAGTATCCAGATCTGGATACCAACCACTGTCTAAAACAGTGAAGGGTTGAAATATTTTGCTCAATTGCAAGCTATTCAGTTAGTCTCACACAGTTTCATGATGCTGGCAGTATACACGAGCATCCTGAATCACAGTGTTCATATTCTTTTTTTTGGAGATGCAGTCTTGCTCTGTCACACAAGCAGCCTGAACCAGAGACAAAGGACTTTATTACTCATAGCAATAGCAGTAGCCGGTGTTCAGCATTTGCACTGGCTCCCCAACCCAACCCCTAGTTCCCATAAGGCAATGCAAAGAGGGCCAGATAATACCAACAAATGAAGTGAGTGTTTTAAACGAGAGGAATCCCAGGCTTGAGGAGCTTGACTCTTTCATAATGGGCAGATGGGGACAGTAAGGTTTGTACTGCACTTAGGATGAAGACACCTTCTTTGTCCTCCAAAACTGTTTGCTATACAAATACCCTTGAAAAAATAATCTGAATGAAGGCAATCAATGCCTCTGTTCACAAGATGTGCAAAAACATGGGAGACTCAGAGAGATTGTTTCCCCAGAATAACTTAGTCCAGGTCTCTCGTTTTAAGGATGAAATAACTGAGGTCCAGAGAGCTAGAGCACTTGGTGATATACTTTACTGGTGGCCACGTGGGGCTTGTCCAAGAGCTCCATTTTTTCTATGCCTATTACATTCACACTTTCCCAGGTACCCTTCTTCCTTTCTGGCATAGGTTGCCTAGAGCTAGTAAGCTGTCACAGGTGAAATAATTGAACAGAAGGACCTGTTGCATGAGTGAGCAGTAATGACAAAGTACAAATGGTGAGAGCAGGCCAAGAGAGAACTTGAAGTGGAGGCAGTACCAAATTCATCAACAGCCCAAGTTGCCTCCCCTCATTTTATTTGACTTGCAACTGTAATGAAATGGACATGACACCAGACTTTCATTTAAATTGAATGTGGTCTTTGACTTTGTAAGCAAAGGGAAAATTTTTGAGGATCCTTGCTGTTGTCTATCCCTGCCATTCAGCTCCCTAAAAGATAAATTACTGTGTTAATGAAAGAGAGCACTAATTAAGCTTTATAGTCAATTTGCTATAGATATTTTTAGTAAATGTTAATAGAAAAGCTTTTAAAAATCAATGCAAATCTATATAAGCTACCTAAAATCCTTTTTCAAAGTGGGTAATAAATTTATCAAATTAATGAATTAATTACCCTTAAGACAAAACATGAGTAGTATCCATAGTAAGGAAAAATTATGGCCAAAAAAGACAACGGAGGTCCATGTATAATATTTGCCTTTGAGAAGATAAAAATTTGCTAGCTCTGACTTCAATGGTAACTAAAGAGAAATGCTGATTAATGTTCACTCTGTGTGAAGAAATGTGCAATTTAGAAATCCAAATGGAGTACTACTTACCTCTGGGTACTAATTAAGGAAAACCTTACTGAAAACATCTCAATGATAACTGTTGACACCACTTAATATATTTTTAAAATTATTTTGTCTTTCTTGCTTCAGATATACTGACCTGCCTTAGAGCTTTAACCAGTTACTACATTATAGAACCTTGACATTTATTTTAAAAAATTGAAAATTTCACAAGTCCTCACAGGTATAAATATAACTATAGCAAAGGTTTTCTTTTTTTAATGGCAGTTATTTTTCTCCAAGATTCAACATATTTATTACTCTCTGAGAGTTAATACACATGTAATAATGAAATGAGAACTATAAACTCACCTTCAAATGAGTATTCGCTCAATTCAGTTTTTATTCAGCCACAGCAATAGTTTTGTTCAAAACTATTCCTCAAAAAATAACAAACCGCCACATCTCATAGACATTTGAGGTCACTCATAACTAATCGAACTATGACCCTTAAATCTGTGAATGCCAAAGGATCTGCTGCAAAATGTCTTGAGCACATGCAAAATGTCGTGAGTACATTTAGATGATTAATATAACCCTCTCTCTGCTCAAGGACAAGGACATTCCTGTGCGGGAAGAAGTTGAACCTGCCCCAGTTAGGAGGATTCTGAAATTCAATGCTCCAGAATGGCCCTACATGCTGGCAGGGTCTGTGGGTGCAGCTGTGAACGGGACAGTCACACCCTTATATGCCTTTTTATTCAGCCAGATTCTTGGGGTAAGTATACAGCTGGACTAGCTTTCTTCTCATACCTTTTATTTTATTATTTTGATAAGTCCGCTCTTTGTTTTCATGTATTTAGCTCTTTTCTGTTAGTTCATTTTTCTCATGTCTAAAGAATGAAAAATTTCCTGAGCCTCCAACACACAGAAGCTAAGAAGGCAAAGCTGAGAACTCTCATTTGGGCTGGCAGGGCACTCACAGAGTCATTGTGCCTATATATATATATATATATGATACTGCCACTGAAAATTTTGTGTTAGAAGAGGGCAATTTTTCTAGTAATATATATCAAGCCTAATCAAAATGCAAAGTGGATTCACTGAATAATACAAAAGGATTTTAGGGAAATTTTGATCTTGCGGAACAGAAGAGGTACAAAGTTTGACTTATATAGCAGGTGTTAGTGTTTGATGTATAATTCTCCATTGATTGCACTATTGAAATAGGAATGTGGATAGGAAGCAGAAAAAGAAAGAAGTAAAATAAGGCATGGTTGAAAACTAAGTTTATTCCAATTTTTTACTTCCTACAATTTCTTATATTCTCTATCTGACTTTATTGCTGTAATCATTATAATAATAACTATGAACATGTATTAGGCAATATATAAGCACTTTATGTACAATAGCTCATTTAAGTTTACTAACAACCATCTGGCC